TGTAAGACGAAAGGATAACCAGAATCACTCCACCACAGTTCAAAATATGTACGTCCTTACTTCATCCATGGATGATTTTTTACAGTCATCATCATCGTCATCGTCATCGTCACTTTCAATCTCTGCTTCTCCTGCAAAATTGTAATTACGATACAATTATTAGCTGATACAATAACTATAACTACCAAGACTATCCTTGCCAGACACCTTCAAGTGCTGTTACTTTAGAGGTTCCACATTTTGGGGGAACTGGCCCTTACAGAACAAACCAAATTTGCTGTCTGGGAGTGGTTTAGCCATCCTTAAACAGCGCTGACTTACTTCGGGGGATTTGCCTATCAAACAATGAACTCCATTGTGTCTTTGTAAAGCACTTTGTTGTGGTCAACAGAACATTCAGAACCCCAGATTAGATGTTAGAATAATGAACTAAAAAAAAGAATGTTGGCTCATGACTTTCCGGGCATATACATTCTCATGTATTATTAACCAAGGACCAATGGTTCAGATTTGGTTGACTTGAGTTCAAATGTCTTCTCTGCCACAGGTTTCCTGTGTGTTGCTGGGCAAGTCTCTTAACTTTTTCTTCATGCCTCAGTTTTTCATCTGTAAAATGGGGATAACAGCATTTCCCTACCTCACAAGGGTATTGTAAGGATAAATACATTAAAGATCCTATGGTGCTCAGAAACCACTGGGGAAATAAAATTGACAATGGGAGAAATAAAAGCACCATTACTGAGACTGTACAGTTTCTAGCATAATGGTGCTCCATTTTCTGTTAGTCTTTATGCAGTATGGTAATAATTATGGTTATTATTACTAACAACAAAATACTTTATTCAGTAAATAACATTTTGTGTTAAAATAGGTAACATGTTTATTATTTAATATATTGAAAATTGTGAGGCAGATGCTCAGTTGCTGTAAACTTGCAATAGTTCCTTTGATTTCAAGTGAAGTGATTTCAATTTACACCAATTAAGGTTCTGTCCCTGTATATTTTCCTGGCAGTCAGCCCTGCGGTGGTATATCACATACACACCAGCAGAGGGCAATGCATACCAAATAATGAGAAGAAACTTCTTAAACATTCTTTTACTCAAAAAGTACTGAATGAGTAGATGAGAATGAATCACAGAGATTTTTAAGCCTTCTTCTCAATTATTTTATCTCCCTCAAACCCCTATTGGTCAGACAGATTAATTTGTTAATAAACTAAAGAATCACACACACACACCCTTCCACCAAATATAATATTCTTCTTAAAATGCTTCCAGGAAACAATCACATTCAACAAAAATCACAGCTTTCTGCTTTCTTCTTAGAAATTTCCACTGTAGGTTTTACTTTGAGAAAGAAGCCATCAAAATTGAGCTTTAATTCACACAGCAGATCCCTACGTGAATCTGTTAGATTAATGTTTTATTACGGGCTGCACCGATTTTTCTGCTTCCCAGCCTTCTGCCCATATTTTTCACTTCTCTCAGTTAGCCATGGAAAAGCCATTTTCTTTTGGCGACAGGAACGACTAATATTCTCACATGCTGCAAAAATAAACTGATGTGTGAGAATTCATCCACTGGGCCACAATCTCTCTGCTTCAGGGAAGGAGTAACTCAGTCCCTATTCTTCATTTCAATTCATTCTCTTCATCCATTGGCTTCTTTTGAATATGTAGAGTACAGTGGAATTACTGTGGGCTACTTTCTCAACTGACCTATGTTTCCCCAGGCTGGGTTTCTTCCCTGACAATGGTGTGGATACGCCACGCCTTTATTCCTGAACAAATCTTTGAATATTTCATTGAAGAAAATTACATGATTGTTCAACGGATTCAGGGGATAGCTTCGGGAACTTTCATGTTTTGCTAAGAGCCTGAAGTGTTCTTGCTGGGGTTGCAGTAACAACCACTAGCTATGAATCTCTCAATTTATTCATCCAGATTAGCAAAAAGCACCTCCTAGAGTCCATTAAAAAGGAAGAAGTGACAGATTATAACAACCTCTCCCTGCTGAGATTAGTATATATCACTGACACTTCTTGGTTTGTAGCGTAGTATCACCAGATGTGTCCACAGAGGGAAATCTACAACACATTTCCTATTTATTTTTTAAAAAATCAATGGAAAAATCCCCAATCAAATCGACACTCACTTCCAAGGGCTCTCCTGAAGCAGCAAAAGCCACAACAGTGGAACACATGCACACGTCGACAAAAAATGCTGCAAATTAACACAATTTTAGAAGCTATGGGTCTGATGCTCCATTTGCACAAGTTGCCATAGCTCCATTGACTGTTGTAATGCTAGTGAAATTTACACCAACTGAGGATCTGGATGTATGACTTCAGATGAAGCTACAATGAAAACCATGATGGAAAAGGGGAAAGGCTAGCTGTACAGAGCCTGACTACAGATATTTGAACACCACGTATGCATGCAGGAAGATAAGAAATGGTGCTAGATACTGGGGTTTCTAAAGAAGCCTAACAGAATTAGGTGCCTAACACTGCATACAATTCAGATCTGCCTTAGGCCCCTTTGAAAATCTCCATCTGAGTGAATAAAAAAAAATGTAACATTCACTAGGTGCAGCTCTGTGAACAAACTATACCGCATTAATATAGCTCAATCAACAAGGACCTGCAGCAACAGTTTCAGTGAAAAAGCATCTTCTATTTCCTCTCTGACTTCCTTTCAGTGCTTACATACTTTTTAGACGAAGGAGTTCAAGTTTCAGTGGGGGAGGTCTAGGTTGGATATTAGGAAAAACTACTTTACTAGGAGGGCGGGGAAGCACTGGAATGGGTTCCCTAGGGAGGAGGTGGAAACTCCATCCCTAGAGGTTTTTAAATCCCACATTGACAAAGCCCTGGCTGGGATGATTGAGTTGGGATTGGTCCTCCTTTGGGCAGGGGGCTGGACTCGATGACCCCAAGGTCTCTTCCAGCCCTAAGATTCAAGGATTCTATGACTGTACTCATCTCGTACATTCAAAGAGGTCACTTGCTGAGAGAAAGCAATGGGCCAAATCCTCATCTGGTGTAAGTCAGCAAAACTCCACAGATTACAACAGCACAATGCTGATTCACACCCAGCTGAGGAGCTAGAGCTAAAAGTTTTGATCCGTTTTTACTCAGTCACTCACTCAGGGAGCACATATGACTCCTTCATCCTCCCCTAGCACTTCTGCAACTTCCCATGAGTAGTTCCTCTGCAGGCCAAAACAAATTTCTCTCAAAGAGGGAAAGGTTAAGAATTTGCCCCACCAATTTTAAATGTTAGCAGTTATCCACATGTGGGCTGTTTTAAGTTGCCAGTTGCTTTGAGCCTTTATATTAAATAATCGGTACATGTCAAACCAAGAAAAAACAACTTACCGCCAATGTGCCTACAGAGGTAATATGAGAAGGAAACAAAACACCAAAGATGCTAGGCATGAGATTTTTCTTTTGCCAAAATAAAACTCTAATCCACAACCAATTTCTCAAACGTCTGATGATTTGGCCAGCATATGATGCTACAATGAACTTGGTGGGATATAGGCACTGTCAACTCACAAAAAAGTGCATAAAATTTATAAGCCAACTCAGTGAATAAGGGAAAACCCTTGTATGAAAACTCCTCTTTCAGGGCACGTCTATGCAGCAGGGCAAAAGGTGAATTAAAATAAACAACTTCAGCTACATCAATTGCATAGCTAAAGCTGAAATAGCTTAAGTTGGCTTTTGGCACTGTCCTCACAGCAGGAAGTCGAAGGAAATAATGACTTGCTGTGATCCTGCCCTTTGTCTGTGTTATCTATTGACAATAAACTTTTCAAATCGAGGACTAATTCTAATGTTTTTGTACAGGGCCAAGCACAGTAGAGTCCCAGTATTGGTTGTCTCATGTGAGAGCTACTGAAATAATAATAATAATAATAGTTATTATTATTATTAATTTGCTGATAAATTTTGACTATGAATAAATCAAAGAGACATCTTTAGGGCCTGTCCCAAATCAATTTCAGCTAAAGCCAAATAAGATGATCTTAAAATGAAACACAAGTCTCCATACCGTTTGCTTCAGACTGACCAAAACCATTTTAAATTACACCTGAAATTATACAGGAACAACTTTCTCCTGACTTGCCTGAGGTCACCCAACAGGCCAGTGGACAAACAAAGAATAGAATCTCTCTCTCTAATGTCCCAGTCCACTGCTCTATTGACTATGCAATACGGCTTCTCAAGGCAAATCCTTATTCTCACAAGTCCTGTATACCACTCTAACACATTTAAATAATAGATGTTAAAAAAATCTACATTAAAAGAACATGACACTTGAAAAAAAATAGCACAATCAAAAGTTAGAGAATTGAAGTTGCCTGTTTGCTTCCTTAATTTGGCTGTCTTGTGTGTATTCATTAATGACATGACTGGCGACATCTGGCCTGGATATCTGGCTATAGCAGCACTTTTAACTGAAAGTGTGGCCATGGCACGAGCACTGGAAGAGAGCTATCTCCCAGTGCTCTATGTAAACCGCCTCTGTGAAGGGAGTAGCTCCCAGTGCTGTAGCTTGGTTCATACTGGTGCTCTATAGCACCATTACTTACCTGTGGTCTGGAAAGGGAGGTGTTTTTTCACACCCCTGCACCAGAAAGTTACAGTACTGTGAAGTGTCAGAGTAAACCTGGCCTAGTTTTAGCCTAGAGCAGGTGTTTTACCCTCTTGAATTCAGGAGGGAATAGTATCAACTCTAGCTGCATGAACAGTATGTTCTGTGCATTGAGGGTGAGCGAGACCAGCTACAGGTATACAATTAAGAGAACACTCCGGTAATAACTAAATAAATCAAAGCTCAGTAAATGCAAATAATCTACATACACGTATTTGTAACAGCGGTGTCTCCGAAAAATGAATCCACTCTCTGCCTAGAGGAATGCAGCACTCATGCTAATCAATTTGTTTTATTTAGGTGACTAAAATGGAAACAGGGCAGTGTATTTTCACAGAGAGGAGTGGGACTTCTTGGGAATCGGGTGTTTAAATCATGGTGCATTGAGCTGAGAATACACCATGAAGGAACTAGGACATGAAGCCCAATTTATCCTTGCCCAACACCTTGTATAGTCATTTTTTACCAGTGCCAAGGAAGTGGATGTAAAATGATACCATTCTGATGTGCTAGTATTTTACACTTTGCACTGTGCATGTGACTCTGCTCGGTGAGAGGCAACAGTGAACGGGAAAGTGAGATTTTGAGAGCCAAATCCCCCCTCCCTGCACCATTCAGACCTAAATAAAGCAGAACCATTAGTGTGTCCCAGTGCACGGTGCTAAGATGGAGAAAGGCCCTGCAAGGGAGGTCATGCCCAAGGCCGGCCTTAGGTTGATTCGCCCGATTCCCCCGAATTGGGCCCCACGCCTAAAGGGGCCTCACGCCCTGAACCCGGAAGTGTGCCAGGCGGTGCGCTGCAGGAGGGGGCATTGGCCCCGGAGGAGGAGTGCGTTGGCTGCCTGCGCTGCAGGAGGTGTGAGTTTAGCTCAGAGTTTAGCACTGCGGGAGGGTGTGTGTGTGTTGGCAGGGGATTTTTTGTGTGCCGGACCGTATACTCATCTGCCCAAGGGGGTGAGGAGATAGATGCTATTGCATATCACAGAATGCACCAGGTCATTTGATTGGCCAAAGAAAAACGGCACACAAAAAATCCCCTGCCAACACACACACACCCTCCCGCAGTGCTAAACTTTGAGCTAAACTCACACCTCCTGCGGCGCAGGCAGCCAACGCACTCCTCCTCCAATCAAATAGGGCCCCTATTGAAACTTTTGTGTGCCTCTTTTCTCGCTCAACCAAAATCGCTGCAGAGCCCCGTCGAAATTGTTCAAATTGGGCCCCGCGCTTCCTAAAGCCGGCCTTGGTCATACTCCTTCTGGGCTGCAAAGCTCTGCTCCATGCTGCTTCCTTTGTGTGGAATTTTGGGCACATTGCAATGGCAGGATGAAGGAGCGGACCGTATACTCATCTGCCCCAGGGGGTGGGGAGCTAGATGCTATCGCATATCACACAATGCACCAGGTCATTGATTGGCCAGAAAGATTCCTGAGCCTTAACCCCACTTAGCCCTCGTGAGCAAAGCCAGTTGAGTTGGCTTTGGTAAGGGGACGGCACTCTGCTCTGAGTATGTAACATATCAGGCATTTGAGCTAGACCCTTGCTGAGACACCTTCCCATATGTAAGTAGGACGTCCTGTCAATCACCATCCTTATGTTTCAGGCAGTCATATGTCTGGGAGTTCAACTTTTACCTGCTCCAGGAGAAGACGGTTCAAACCCACTGGATGCATCACTGCACGTGTTGGAAGCCTGCTCAGCTACCTTCTTTTTGGAACTTCCATCGGCAGACTTTTGTGATTTCTTTTTATTCTTCACCAGAATTTTGTGCATTAGGTCCATAGGGCTTGGAAGGGGAACGCCACTTTCAAGCTTGGAGGAAAGAATAAAAGAGGTGTGATTAAAAAAGGTCTTATGCCAGTTGCTCTTTCTCTCCATGATACAATGTACAGTTCTGCAGTCCAAAACATAATCTCATTTTAAGAGAAGCATGCTTTGCATAATAGGTAGTCTCTGTGCTGAACAAAATAGCACCTAGAATCATAGAATCATAGAACTGGAAGAGACCTCAGAAGGTCATCCAGTCCAGCCCCCTGCTCTAGGCAGGACCAATTCCAAATAAATCAACCCGGCCAGGGCTTTGTCAAGCCGAGACTTAAACACCTCTAGGGATGGAGACTCCACTACTTCCCTAGGTAACCTATTCCAGTGCTTCACCACCCTCCTAGTGAAATAGTTTTTCCTAATATCCAACCTGGACCTCTCCCACCACAACTTGAGACCATTGCTCCTTGTTCTGCCATCTGCCATCTCATACCTATAAAGGAGCTTTAGAAAATAAACTAAAAATGCACTCTGAACTATCTACAATAATAATAACCATAATCAGTATAATTTCAACTGTGAAAGCGCAGATTATAAAAGAGCACCTATGAGATCCAATTTTGATTTAGAAGATTAGAACTCATTATCCCACAATAATCTCCACATCAGAAGCCATATGCTTAAACCAATAATAGCATCAATTACTTTTTAAAACCCTAAACCCCAAAAGCCAGCAGCTTCTAAATTGTAAGGCCCTATATGAAGAACAAAAAACTGAAATATGCAAATACATATTCATACATATGTTTATGATCAGGGAAATACCAAACCATCTTACTGGGTATTTTTCCAGTGGATCCATGAGCAGTGCATCGCCAAAAATTAATCTGCAATATTCTGCCATTTTGGCTTGCTGCTTAGGGCTAGAAGGGGGAAAGGATAGAATTAAGTGAGACTTATTCATACTGCAGGCTGAAAGTAGCAGTAATGGAAAAATCTAATATCCCTTAACTAGATGAAAGGATAATTTCCTGATCCTATCATTGTAAATTGTTCACAATGATCTAGATTCATCATGCTATTATTCTGACTTCTCTGACAGCTCTTATCACAGGGACTGTACATGAAACGGTACAATAAAGGCATTGGGCATTTGAAGTCATAAATAGTGAAATTGAACTTGTCACATAGAGACAAATATTTTCACTCACTTTATAGAATATAAAAACCGAATATATCAGTTGGGGGAGTAATAGAAATAAACTGATACAGAAGTTTGACTCTTGGGTGCAACACATTAAATATGTTTTCCTTCATCATACTTTTAGGTCACAGCAAGGATTTTCAAGGTGTATCTATCCCTTTACTTTTTTCCTCCTCTTGTTTTACTTTTTCTTTTTGGTAACTTGAGAACATAAAGTGGAGGAAATGAAAAAGAGAAAAGGGATATTCCTTTTTCATGGCACTTCTAACATCTTCCACTGGTTCACATGGAAACTCTCAAACCTGGTCACCCTATGGCCAGATCTGATCTAGAAAATTTGCTGGGGTAACTCATGATTTATTTATTTTTTTTACTGTCATGGGTTGTTGGCAAAAGACCTATTATCAGCACCATCATAATGGCACAATGATGCTTAGGTTTATATAGTTTACATGGGCCTGGTCTACACTAGATCAGGCAAGTCAGCTTAAGGTACGCCATCCAGCCACGCAAAATGCATAGCTGGATCTGGCTTACCTTAAGCCAAGCTGCTGCAGTGTCTTCACCAGGGGTCGGCAACCTTTCCTAAGTGGTGGGCCAAGATGTAACCCTCCTGCCCTGGGATCCGCTGCAGCTTTTTCTGTGGGGAGGGGAGGAGCAGCGCGCACGCGCGTCGCAGAGCCTCAGGGCTTCCCAGGCCAGACTGAGCTGCCAGACTTTGGCCTTCAGTGCACACGTACATGCACGCCTCCTTCTTCCCTCCCCTGCCCCCCCACTGACTGCTGTTGGCTCCCATCCCGTGGGCTGTGACGGAGCCAGGAATGTGTCGTGCAGTCACCGCCCCAAGTGGAGAGAGTGACAGGGCCAAATTGCCACGAGGGGCGACTCAGCTGATGTCCATAGTTTCCACTTCCGCAAGTAAAGGCGACTCTTCCCCCCCCTCCCCTACCCCGAGCTCAGTCTCAAGTCTGTGGGGCACACACAATGAATGGGCTCCCCCTCGACCTCCCCCCCCAGAGGAAGCCAGTGCTGGCTCCAATCTTGTGGGGGGCATGATGCTGGATCACCAGCACAGGCTTCCCTGTTGCGGGTAGGAGGGAGCAAGGGGGAGCTGGTTCATCGCATGTACCACTGAAAATTGTGCCACTTATGGCACACATGCTGGATGTTGCCGACCCCTGGTCTACACTGTGGGATGCTTTTGGGAGCATACAGAATGAGGAGTACAGGATGCCAGCAAAGGCTGCCCTCAGCATTCCATTTGGGGGTCTACACCAGACCTGATCAATCAAACTCTAGAAAATCGACTTCTGGAGGGTTGATCTTCTCTGTAGTGTAGCCAAGCCCATTGTGTTTGGGAAATGGGCATAAGCACAGTTCCTTGGTATAGGAGATCTATGCTAGTATAGCTATAGTGTTCATCAATGTAGACCTGGCCTTTGCAACAAGCTCCTGGAGCAAGTAGCTGGATGATTATTTTAGTCTGTAGGGTGGAACATTGTTGAGATTTCCCCTCACCAGATGCTTCTCTATATCTATATCATCTTGTCAATTACTTTGGTAGTTTTCATGGCGTCCACTAGGGATACGTCAAACTGAGCAGGCTGTGTGTCTGCCCAAAGTGCAAGCCAAGAGTGAAATAAAGTCGCCATATCATTGTGATGCGAGTTTTAAGACCACAGATAGCGTATAACACATAGCTATGCCACTTGCAAAGCCTTAGCATGCGGCCTATAGTAACTGCCATTTTTTATAACCGCATGGACAGGATAAAACTGTTCATCTCCAGGTGTGTTTCACTGGGGAAATCAAACCAAAAGCCATTTCTATTCACAGACTACAGTCAACATATGGGCACGCCAAGCAGCTATAGTTGCACCTATTAGTCACATCAGAATGTATCTATATAAATGAACATCAAAGAGGTGAGGTCCTAAGTTTTTTTTCTGGCAAAGTTATAGTCCTGTATATTGCAGCAGTTGGAAACCCTTCTGTTGCAATTATATCTCCTTCCAGGATGTTGCAATTCAAGTGAGGTGGGAAAGAATTCTCTCATTCCCATAACTAGTTTTCAGTATTGGGTGTTCTTTTGGGGGGCGGCACATCTCAAATTGGGGAAAACAGTTAAAATCTTGAAAATATTCATAAACCAAAAAAAAAAAAAAAAGGCGACACCCCAAAATTCAGTTTTGGTCATTGAAACATTTTGTTTTCGTAATTTTGAAACATTTCCTTTTCAATTTTGAAATTTTTCTTTTTCTAAACCCTTTGTTTACCATAATTTTGAACAGGAAAACAGGATTTTTGAGTGTCAAAATACTGAAGTTAAATCTCTTCTTCCCCAACATTTTTTTTAAGTTAGAAAATTCATTGAACACCACCTTGTTTCATGAATAGTTCGAATTTTGAGGAAAAACTATTCATCAAAAAAAGTCCCACTCAGCTTTTGTTGGAAGAACAACCGCCAGGAAGAATTTTAATCTCCTGCTCAACTAACCTTTTACAAACAGAAATAAACTAAAGTATCTAGTTAGAAGTTCCACTGTACTACCAGGGCAGTTGGAAGAGCCTTTGTGTAATGAGAATCTAGCCAAAAGTATTAGGATAAACTCACAGTTAAGCAATATAAACTATTCCCATTACTGAACACCCTATTCTGCTACCCTGCTTGCCCTCTTGTTATAATTACTAATTATTCATTGTGTTCCAGCAATACACATGGTTATGGAAAGAAAGCTGGTGTCGCAGTGAGTCAATCCGAGATGGGATCAAGCATTTAACTTGGGATCTGAATTTCCCAAAGTTCCGTGGTGCTCCCATTTGGAGGGATTCCACCTTTAGCAACCACTGGTTAAAACGGTCGCAACCTCAGCTTTGCACGGTACAACATACGGTTGTAGATTTTAAATGATTCTCCAAAGCCAGGACAGGTTTGAAACTGCTTCGTTTTATATCCGTTCAGTATTTTATCAACACTCTCTTTTAAATGTAGTCAGTTATGCAAGCCACTTAGAAATTCAGCCTTGGGCAATAAGATGAGGAAGATGAGTAGGAACTGGGACGGGGGAGGGGGACAACAGCAATACTGGGTCTCTGGGCAAGGTGGGGATGGCTGCTCTGGCTGCATACCCCTGGAAGGGATAGGGTCTTGAGAGGAAGGGGCAGGACTGGGGCTAACCTCCCCCAGGCAGCCCTCAGCTCTGCCCAGAGCATGTCATGTGGGGCTCCAGCAGTGATTAAAAGGGTCTGGGGCTCTAGCTGCTATCCTTTTGAATTGCTGGGCCATAGGACATTTGCCCTCTTTTCCCCCTCTGTCCATGGGTCTGAGTAGGAATCAAACAGAACAGAACCCCCAAGAAAAAGGCTGGCGGGGAATGCAAGGTAGAATGTTGTAGTCCTTATCTAACTGGCAGATTCTTTTCATGCAAATAAAACAAGCGTGGTGTAAAAAGCAACCTTAGCTCTCTGTGGAAAGTGGGTGGTTGGCTGGGTGGGGATTTTTTTATAACTTCTGCCTCCGTGGGGAAATTATTACAGGCAAGTTCCTCTTAATTTTCTCAACTACTATGCATTTTTAATGGAGCTGCACTCATACGGACCTTGATGTTCAAAGTCTGGGTCCTTTAAACCAAGCCCCACATTTATCTAAAACTTAGCAACATGCATAAGATTAGATTTTAAAAGGGCACATCCATGAAAACCACCCCAGATGTCTGGAGGTAGTGAGAGTTTCACTCCTACACAACAGTGAAATCTTATAGCACTTCAGAGAGAATGTAGGTTTTCCTTGCTAGAAGTCGTATTAGAAAGAAACTGTACCATCTAACTTTATATAGCAATCTTATGGAAATCAGAGAGGACTTTTTTTTTAAAAAAAAGAATGACTAATTGGATACATCATACTTGGCTTTGCAATTACAGGTTCAACCTCTTTAGTTCAGGACCAGACCAATTCTGAACGAGAGAATTTTCCAGACTACAGGAAGTCAATATTGTTTAGCAGCATTACCAACACTTCCACTGCTGACTGGGCACTTAGAGGACATTAGAAGTAAATTAGAGCTAAATAACAGCACAGAGCACTGAGAGCTAGGACTGCTGGCTGTAAATAGACTTTATGGGACCATGGGAAACTTGGCCACACCCATAAAAAGTGGACATCCGGCTAGTTAAAATCATGCTGGATGATGGATGTTTCTGGACCAGAGAGTTCTGGACTAGAGAGGTTCAACTTGTATCTTCAATACATCATATGTAGAGGCATACATAAAATATCTGACCCTATCAGTTCTCACTGGGTGAAGAACTAATATTTGATAACATACTGAGCCATACAGTAATAATCTGTATTCTACAGAATTGTACCAGCAGTATGGGAAGCAGAGAAACCCCAAAATGTGCAAGGGCAAAGGAATAGATTTACAAGCCTAAGAAGGAACATAATATCGCTGCTCAGACATATTCGATGTGTGTCAAGCTGGAGATACACAAACTGATATTTGTACCTTTCTTTAGACTGTGGAATGTTTGATACAAGAACCATTTGTTTGGTTTTTGTGTATATACAACACCTAGCAAAATGCAATACTAGTCTATAATTGGGTCTCCTAGGGTGTGTCTACACTGCACCCTTAGCTTGAAGGACAAGGACATGGACGTCGGAATAGCATGCCCGTTATTTCGAAAGATAGTTCGAAATGATGGGCGCGCTGTCAAGAT